GACCCACCGGTGGGAGCCGTGACTGCTGGGCATTTTGGGCAATCTCACTCTTATTACGGCCTAAACGAGAGCTGAGCAAATGAAAACCTGGCCCTGCGCTCTGTGGACAAGCCCTGAATTCACACAGAGAGAAGGAAGAGAAACGGGGAACAGGACACGGGCTCTCCGTTTCACTCTGGCAACGCCACGGTGGGTCAGCAGATGTCTCATTCCATCGTCCGGGCACAGAATCCCCTCTCGGGGCTGGCGGATCTGCCATGGAGGGTGGGGGGCTTGGTCAGTCTCAGAAGGAGACAAGTCTTGCACCGCCCGGCAGCGATGTTTTTAGAAGCTCCCTGATTATCAGTCCCTGGTCCCAGGCCCCTGAGCTAAAACGCCATTTCCTCCGCATACGCTCAGGGTGCCGGGACGCCAAAGAAGAGGAACCTGGGCAGAGGGCGGCTGATTTATTGGAACCTATGACTTTGTACAGGCAGTGAGGAAAGTCTCTCAGACCGCGGGAGGGGCATGGAGAGGGCCAAGTGAACAGTGGCCAGTCTGGAGACGATGACGCCTTTCCCCCTCCTTTCACTTAGCCCAGGAAAGATGCAGGGCCCTCTGCAGCCTGTATTCATCTCAGCCAGCAGCCGAGGTCTGTGCAAGTCCTTCTGGCCTAGAGGTGAAACCCTTTCCACAGGGAACCTCATTTCCGCTCAACGCTCCCTCAGTGGAACGGAGCCCTAACTGCGTCACCAAGGGCACCTGGGAAAACAACCACAAGGCGCAGTCGGGAGTTCTGGGGCAGAGAAGCCGCCAGGTGAGGAAGCAGCCCGGAGGGGGAGAGGGGAAGAACGGGAATGAGACTCTAACTTCCCACACAAAATGCTGAGGCTGCCATGAGCCATCCCAGCTCCAACGGCGGCAGCAGCCTCCGCCACCCGCAGGAACAGTTGGGATTAAATTTAGAACAGAAGCCAATTAAAAGGTAGCAAGAAAACATATGCTCTGGCTCGCAAGAATCTAAGTGTTTAAAACACCGTGACCTCCGGCTGCCACTGGGGAAGTTTCAGGATTGTCTCGGAAGGCCTACAAACGATTTCAAAACGAGTCTCTCCAACCTCTAGCGAGGGGCTGTCACGGGTCAGGTGATCGGTACAATTGGGGGAGGTGGGGCGCACAGGATGATCCCAGGAACGTTCCATCTCTGGGTGGCTTGGGATAGGATCCCAAACGATTATTTTGCTGCACGTGGCGTTTTGTCGTCTCGCTCCCTGCAAACAAAAGCAGCTGGCTTGCAGGCCGATGGACGCGTGGACCGATGCTGCGCCTTTCTTTCTAGACTGGGCCACAATTATTCTGTGGCAGGCCTCGCGAGGAATATCAGCAGGTCTCTTTCGCCTTAGCGGTCCCTGATGAAAAATTGCTCTGCAAAATGGACTCCGCACACACGTAGATCCAACCCGCTCTTCGCAAACCACCTCGCAGCTCTCATACACTTTGCAAAAAGCTCTCTGGGCAAATAAAAAGGGATGAGACAAACCAAGGCAGAGTTGGGCAAGTCTGCAGGACTTTAAAACCTTTCAGCTAGTTTATGCCTAGCTCTGCCGATCCCTAAACCACCTCCCACCCCCCTGCAATCTTGGTGCTTCTGTGTTCAGCTCACAAGAACCAAAGACACCAGAGCAGTTGCTCAAACGTTTGCAGATAGACTTTGTATGTTCTACACTGGGGAGAGCATGGGTCTTTGCCCCCCTCTAGCGCTTGGTCCATATAAGAGGAGAATGGATCCACTATAACTTCTACATAGCAGACTGGAGCCCAGCTCCTCAAAAGTATCCCAGTGTCTAACTGCCATTGATTTCAACGAAAGCCGAGAAACGGCTGAGAAATGTTATCTTGGAATGCAAACCGCTGACGCAGCGTTCTAGCTGCTGCAAGTTAAGTGCACATATTGCATTCTGCCACGAGTCCGTGGGACCCACGTGGAGAGAGAGAGAGCTCCTAGGCCAGCGTGCGCGTTAGGACCCCTCCCTCCTGTCACCGACCTACATGGGATACTAGTGCACATCTGCATGGCCAGGAGCGACTATGCAGCCACAGGTTCAGGATGTAGTCAAGCTGGAGACAGTCAAAGCCCCGGGCAAGTCTCCTGATTGATTTGTGAGCGCTGGGTGGACTGACCCATCAGCAGCTTCTGTCAAATTGCAGGCCACTCAGCAGAAGGAGAAGGGATGTGGGTGGATCTTGAATGTCCACGGCTTCTTCTGGCACCCACTGAGGTGTCCCTTTTTCTCCCACACGTGGCTTTTCCTTGCTTTACTATATCCTGGATTATTCTTCCACATGACTGGCAGAGGAGGGGGGAGCTGCCTGCGAGGAAAGCGGGACCCCCAGTACACCCAACTGGCTGGCATGAGAAAGGGAACTGTGATCTGCCGGCACATCTCACTCGAGAGACATGGACGGAGCTTTGCTACTTCCGAGGAAGCCGCACCGACGTCACTCAGATGGTGCGACCGGACTGCCGCCCTGCAGAAAGCACTGGGCCGCACCAGCACAAATCCGGAACAGCCTCTGATTTCAGTGGAGAGCAGCATCTGGCCCTCTGGGACATAAGGATACAATGGAACCCTCCACCTGGAACGGGAGGAGACGGTCCCACGTCCTTCGGCTTCCGCCGGTGGGACGGCGAAAGAGCCGGATGTCACTTCTGTACGATGACATCACAGCAAGAGGCGTTGTGGCACCGAGCTGCTAGAGCTTGAGATCACGCTGCAGCGTTCCAGTGGCATGTTGGCTGAGGCCAGCAGGGGCTCCGATCCCACGGCAGTGTAACCCAGTGCAGCTCCACTGGCGTCCGTGGGGCCGCGCCCAGTTAGCATGGAATCCTGCATCACCCCCAAATCAGGATGCACTGCCAGCGGTGACTCGAGGGGTGTATTTCGATTAGGATGTTGGTTGACCAGGGCTTTGTTTCTGCTCTGTGTGGAGACCATATGAAAACAGTTCTAGTTACAGTCGAACCCTTCTTTTACAAGCGAACCGGGAATTGAAGAGTTCACAAAACTGAGACGACTGTAACACTGAGCATCTCAAAGGGACAGCAGGTCCAGTGCCTTAGCGGCAGTCCAGTGCACTGGATCGCTCTCTTCACACCGCTGAAAAGCGACTTCCAAGCACGGGCGCGGGAAGAGACGGAGACCTGTTCTTCACCAACGTCACCTTTCATTGTGTCATTAGTTAGTCCCCTGCCAAGAAAAAACGGTTTGTGTAATTGGCCGTTCGCCAGAGTGGCGGTCAGGAAATCGGGGTTCTACTGGGGTTGCTACTATGACCCGTCCCTAGGGACTGTACACTTAATTTCTCTCTCGCACACACATGGGTGCCCCTCTACGGTACCGCTGAGCTGTGCAGCGAGTAGCATGAGCGAAGGAAGAGGCAGCAGGAAGAGTAATTCAGGACTCAGCTGTCCAAAGTCAGCATCTGTTCTAGGCCTGGGGCCGAGGGCTCAGTTTGATAAACAATCTTTGGCCTCCCTCAGCACCGACTGCACATTCACCCCCATAGGCCATTTCCCTGGATCTTCAACCCGCCGTGCGGTGCATGCAATTGGCAATCATTACAGGGAGGGTGAACGAAGAACCAGCCCCTCAGTTAATGAGTAAGATTATCTCCATCTTCCATGCCCGTGAGAACTGACTGTTTAAACCTATTGCCGAGAAATAGGACCGTGCTAACCTCACTCAGAAACCGCTGCCAAGAAAACGAGCCTGTTAAGCCACACAGAAGAAAGGCCACTTCTTAGCTTCCCCACCGTGCTGGAAATGAGCCACTTGGGGACAGCTTTGCAAGCGGCAGCCACAGAGAATGGTCTGTCTCTTGCAATTTTTCAATCAATATCCGCTCTGGAGATTCACCAGCGAAAAGCTAAGAGGAGAAAGTGGAAGAGGTGGGAAGAGGAAAGAGCGGAGGAGAAGAAAGGGTCAGAGTGCCTACAGAAGGGAAGAGACCAGGGTGCGATGCCTGAAGCGGCCCAAATTGGAGGGGGAACAAAAAAGAGGGAATAGAGACAAGTTGCTGTGCTCAGAAAGATCCTGCCGCTGGACTACAGGTGTGGGTAACGCTGCCTTGTTCCCTTTTGCCACACCAGGGAAGATTTTATAGCCCTCGATCATATCCCCTTTGGGGTAGGACCTTGTTAAAAGCTTTCTGGGCAGAGAAGTAAAAGCAAGCTAAGGTTCTGGGAGAAGAAAACAGCAGAGAGGAGGAACCCCAGTCTCAAGAGCCAGGTGGAAGAGCGCAGATGTAGAAGACCCAAAGATTAAAGACAGGCAAGAGCTAAGAGTAGAGTGCGGCAGGAAGGCTTGCTGGAATGAACGCTTTAGCCTTTTCTCTCTCTGGAGACCCAGCTTTTTATTAGCGTGATTCAAGACCTAGTGAAGCCAGCAGGAGTCTTTCCATCGGCTTCAGTGGGTGCCAGATCAGGGCCAAATAACAAAAAAAGTTGATGCCTTGGCTTGGGCAGTTTATCCATATCCCAACGCCAGCATGTGACTCGCTGCAGGAAGTCTGCGTAGGGGGGATAGAAACCAGCCGACAGAAGGGAGCAGTCAGGCACGCCCGGCTGGCAGACCTAGTGAAGCCAGCAGGAGTCTTTCCATCGGCTTCAGTGGGTGCCAGATCAGGGCCAAATAACAAAAAAAGTTGATGCCTTGGCTTGGGCAGTTTATCCATATCCCAACGCCAGCATGTGACTCGCTGCAGGAAGTCTGCGTAGGGGGGATAGAAACCAGCCGACAGAAGGGAGCAGTCAGGCACGCCCGGCTGGCTAAAGGCCTCCCTTACCTTGACTCCATACAGCTAGGATCTGCCGACAGCCTCTCTGGCGGGGTGCGTGCATGTTCTTGGTCACTGGCTAAGGCTCCTACCTTCCCTTACCTTGACTCCATACAGCTAGGATCTGCCGCCAGCCTCTCTGGCGGGGTGCGTGCATGTTCTTGGTCACTGGCTAGGCCTCCTACCTTTGCTTATGTCTTCATACTCCAGCCAGAGCTGCCGCTGGACCTGCTTATTGGGGTACCAGATGGAGCAGGATTCCTCAAATCCATAGACTGCCTCCTGGATGTAATGGTTGCCAAACTGGTCTAGCAGGGCCACGAAATCGGCTCGGGAGGTGGCTCCATCCAGAGAGTGGAGGGCGTTGCTGAAAGCTGCGGAGGAACGGACACAGCAAACAATGAGAAACAGGAGGCACTCGTGAATACGAGAGGGGGTGGGGCCGGAGCTCCCACCAGCCCTGTCCCAGCAGGGCCATACTCCCTCCGACCGCCCCACACGGCTAAGTAACAAGCCGGCAATTGCAAGTGGAGGAAGACCAAAGCGGACTCAACCCGAAGGCTATTCCACCGCTGGCCTCCTGCTCCCGGCCTGCAGTACTCACACTGGGAGACGGTCAGCGGGGTGAGCCGGACGTGGTACATGACGGAACGCACCTTCCAGTGCTGCAGCAGCGGGTACCCCGACACCTCGCTGAAATTCACCATCCCTGAGAGAGACACGCGACAGAGCCTCAGTGCTGGACAGCAGCAAGCTGGAGCCCCCCAGCGGGAGGTCTGCCCCAGGGCTGGTGCATGGGTCAGGAGGGGGGCTCACGGAGGATGAGAGACCATGCCCAGTGCACAGAGAGGGGGACGGAGGCTGGCGTGTCCAGTGGAGCTCTCCGTGGTCCTGGCTCTGCCTTTGCTGAAGTCAGAGGGGCTTTCACCATTGACGTCGACATGCAGAGTTAGACCAAGGCAGAGGCCTCTGAAAACACCTCATCTCCAGGCCTTTGCCAGCATTCCAGCAGCCAAGGGACCTTCCAAAGGCCGGCCAGCCCGTTATCCCCATTTTACAGGAGGGGATGTTTAGCCACAGGGTGGGAATGCGACTCGCCTACGGTCACCCACAAGGCAGAAGCAGGAGGAGGAATAGAACCCAAGTCCCAATCCAGTGGTCTGTCTTCCAGGCCACACCGCCTCCCCTCCCGCAGGCCCAGCCCGGACCAGCTTCGGGCTACGCTTCCCTGGTCTGCATTTGGATCCTCTCAGCTTGACAGCACCTTCCCCCGCGGCTGGTTCAGAGCCCTTCTGGAGGGAAGAGTCTAGGGGTGTGAAGGCTTAACTAGTTCACGGGTTAAGATTAACCAGCGGGGGCTGTCTCAGCCTGGCCAGCGCAGCCTCGCAATGGGGTACACAGGGACTGCTCCTGCTGGGATGCTCCCCTCACCATTAGGCCCCCTTTAATCTCCGGGACAGGCCTCGCAGCTGCCTGCGGCAAAGGAAGGGGGTGGGTTTTCCTCCGACGGCTTTGACGCAAGCCAGAGCATGCAACTCTAGCGCTTGCTGTGCTGTGAAATAAGCAAGGCAGCGGCTGGTTCAGAGCCGTTCCGGAGGGAAGAGTCTAGGGGTGTGAAGGCTTAACTAGTTCACGGGTTAAGATTAACCAGCGGGGGCTGTCTCAGCCTGGCCAGCGCAGCCTCGCAATGGGGTACACAGGGACTGCTCCTGCTGGGATGCTCCCCCCTGCCATTAGGCCCCCTTTAATTGGTTAAACAATAGTTTGACTGGTTAGCCAATCCAATGGGGGGATTCTACATTCCTAGAAGACACCGGATTATCATGGATGCCCCAGTCCGGCCTCTTGCCCTCAACTGAGATGAGACTTATCGACTCGGGTGCTATGCCAAGGTATCGTAAGAGACAGTCCCCGCCCAGGGGAACTGGCAGGGAAAGGACCCTGGTCTCTGTTTCACAGGCCTAGAGCGGAGGTAGAGGATCGGGAAGAGAACCCCACTCTCCCAAGCCCCCGTTGTAACACGAGACTCCCTCCCCGTGTCTCGTCCCCGACAAGCTGTGTAAAAAGCCTCCCTCACAGGCGTTCCCTCCTGCTCCCTTCCCGGGCTGCGCAGACCTGGCTCGACGCTTACGCCCTCGATAGCGTCTGGTTTCCCCTGCCTGCTCGGCGAAGGGACAGCTCTGCTCACCAAGCTGCCCAATTAAAACCTGCCATGGGTGACAGAACGAGCTGGGACGGAACTGGAGGAAACCACTGGGCGGGGGACGAATCTAATTATGCTGAAAGAGGATTTGAGGGTCAGCGACTCTCCGGCAATTAAAAACGCAACTTTAAAGGAATTTGTTTGGGTTTGTTTTCTTGCTCTAGCCTGGGCTTGGCTTCTGAAGATAACAAGGCCTTTTGTGGTTTTTCCCTTGGAAGGCTAGTCCCAAAGGCATGCCCTGATGTGTTCCTATTTCCTCTCATTAGATGTTTTTAATGAACCACCCTTCAAACACAGCACTCTGGGCTTTGCCGTATGCGCTGCCTTTAAGGCACCTTGTGGCGTGGTCGCTACCGTGGTCCACGCCAAGGGGAATGGACACAGGAGATAAGAAAGCCAGCTAGGACAATACCCTCTTGTCTCTCCTCTGAGGAGCCCCCGATCCCTCCCCATCCAAAGTGGCGTGTAGCGGGCAGGGAAACCACACGGCAACCCTTTACATGAGGGGAGAGTTTATAAAAGGCTCGGCTCCCGTGTACTATGACAGGAGGTGGCGGCACCCCTCAACGGAGAAGGCGAGCTGTAAGAGACGGGGAAGGAAAAGGGCAGGGCCTTTCCACTCCCGCCTTGGCACAACTCGCTCCGCTTCCCACAAACTGGGTTTCAAAACGTCCCGTGCCATGCCAGCGCCAGCAGGGAGCAACAGCCAGGAGTGGGCGACACGTCAAACTACAGTCAATCTGGGGCGCTGAGGACAGATGGACCAGTCAATATGTTACACTGCACAAAAAGGACACGCGATGTCCTTCCCCCACTTGGTGAGCAACCTGGCTCCGACTGGGGCTTATGAAATATGAGATACTAGCACCGCGCGGGCGGTGAACAGGCAAACCCAGGGACAAACAGTCCCATGTCAAGGGTTCTCCCAAGGTTTTGAAACAGCTGGCTCGTGCAGAGAGGAAAGCCACGTTTCCCAAGCGACGATGATCCGAGCTGGGGAAAAGACGACACTCTTGAGCCTTTAAATTCCTCTGACTTCGGTGCTCACTGTTCCAGATGACTTGAATGTGCGGCTCTCCTCTGGAAAGCAGTTATGCAAAACTGGCACCTTCTTACTCAGCACCTCTGTCCCCCTGCGAGTATTCGGAGGGATGCCGGGATCTGCTGACTTCAGTGAAAAATACACGGTTTTATTGCTTTTCACCACTGTCAGCTGCAAAGAGCCAGCCCAGCTCTGGGAGAATGAAGGGGATTATTTTCCACCTTGTGCCTCATCGACAGAATTGTTAACTAAGTTCCAATTACAAAACTGCTTGTGTAACGATGTGGCCTTGGTTACCCGGGGTAATCACCCCGGAGCCGGCAGGGCAGAAAGGGACGTGCAACTGGAGGTCAGTGATGTTAGCGAGGGCAGAGTTTGACCGTGGGGGCGTCAGTGCCGGAGCCCTTCGGCACTTACGTGGGGGAAGCAGGCAGGAACTCCAAGGACCTGAGTTCTAGTCCTGCTTCTGCCACTGCGCTCTTGGGTGACCTGAGGAAAGTCACGTCTCCTCTTTGCACGGTGGCTTCCCCAGTGCCTATCTCCCCTGCACGTTCTTTGGGGCAATGGGTTTGTCGGGGCCCCTAATGCGGACGACGACTGCCTGCTAGCACTCATGGTGCTGTCCTGCCATGCCAGGCAGCTGGATGGGACGTTCTGCTAGTGACCGTGCGGGGATCCCCCAGAGGGTAAGGGAGGGAACGGGCACATGCCACCCCCAGGGGAGGAGGAGTAACCAGGGCATCCGAGATCCCCCGAACGTGGGCCTTGTCTGGCTCTCTGACCAGCCAGGGTGTTTTTCTTTGCGGAAGCTCCCTCGCGCTGTTTTCTGGATGCTAAGAACGCTCTGCAGCCGGGCAGGAGGAGCGGGCGCGTGGCTCGAGTCACTCACCAGTCAGGAAGCCTGGGTCCGGCGTGGGCTCAGAGAGATGCTCCTGACACTGGTTCTCCAGCGGGACGGGGGCCACCACCAGGCCGTCTGGGAGCTGCTGCTCCAAGCCCCGGGCGAAGTTGCTCTGCCTGCAAATTGCGGAGCGTTACCGCCGTGCGCGTGTCTCTAATTAACAAGCCCGGGCCGGCAGCCCTGGAGAAGGAGACCGGGCAAAGCAGGCCCGGGTTTCAAGGCAAGGGGGCTCGTTTGGGCTCATCTCGCCTGCGGTCCCCTGCAACATCCACGAGCGTCTGCTGTGGGCAGAGCACCCCACCCCCCAGCCCCGCC